TATTGATGTTGCCATACCTGATAACTGTCACATTGACGAAAAGCAACAGGAAAAACTCAGCCATGATCAGGACCTCAAAATTGAACTGCAAAGGCTCTGGCATAAACCAGTCCAGGTCGTCCCAGTGGTCACTGTCACACTGGGTGCTGTACCAAAAGATCTCAGCCGGCACTGGGAAACAATACACATTGAAAAAAATCACGATCTGTCAACTGTAAAAGGCCACATTACTTGAATCTGTGAGCATCCTTCGACAATACATCACACAGTCCTAAACACTTGGGAAGTGTTCAACTTGTGATTTTGTGATAAGAAATCCAGCATATATATCCCATTTGCTGTACCATACTGTGTTTTTCTGTCAGAATAATAATAATAATAATAATAATAATAATAATAATGAGATATATATTTAAAAATTACAGAGGATGCTACACAGAGAGGCGTGTAAAAAATAAATGATTTATTAATAAACACATTATTAATATTATTATTAATTAAGAGATTGTGTATAAATACATTATGGTGATGATGTATTGTATAACACCTCCCTTCTCAATGGAGGGAAGAGGTTCCCAGAAGTAGCATTTCCTTTTATCCCAGCCCTGTAGAGAAGTGTACAGAAATGGTTGTTGTTGTGTGCCTTCAAATTGTTTCCAACTTATGGGCAATACTAAGAGTTTTCTTGAGGCTGGGAGTGTGTGATCTGCTTAGAATCAACCAAAGAGTTTCCGTGCTCCACAAAAAATAACTTGTAGGCTCATATACAGGATTTGACCTTGATTCCCAGTAGGCCCCTTTTAACTCATAGGAATTGTGGTGTTTTAAACCAATATTTTATCATTTTTATTATTAATGCTGTTTACTTTTGGTTTATCTTGTTTGTCTATGTATTGATTTGGTGTATTATTATTAACCGCAATGAGTCGCCGTTCTAGGCTGAGATATTAGCGGTATACAAGTGTATCAAATAAATAAATAAATAAAATAAAATTTGCCCTGAGTCCCTTAGGAGATGGGGCGGGGTACAAATAAAGTTGGTTGTTGTTGTTATTGTTGTTGTTACCCCCTGAAAAGCTGCAGGCTAGAATGTCCAATTCGAGAGTGTGGGGAAAAGTGCCTTTTGAACTAACACTCCCAGAATCCACCAAGTTGGGGATTCTGGGAGTGTCAATCCAAAATGAAGAACCTTCCTCAAGCCTGAAAGAACTGCCAAGGAATTCCAGGTAGTATAAGTTATATTTTAGGAGGATAGAATTCCTGAGATCTCCATGAATCAAAACACACACACACATTGTGTTTTGAAGAGGGAGTGAAACATCAAAATGAACTGTTTTCTCACTTTCAACCTCTCAGTGCTCTGGTCCAAAATCCGAGTGATGAGAAAATCCCAGGGAGGTCTATCCTTCTTTGGAAGCTCCAGGAAGGAAATGTGCAAAATGCATTTGCCTGCCTAAATTCCTCATTTCAAGCCAGGTCGTGTCTGGAATGCAACTGTCGAGGCAGTTGTTGCTCATTCTGTTAATTGGACTCTGTGCTAAACAAATTGATTGCTGTTATTGTTGTGATCAAGAATAGGGCTCCACGGTCACCTACGGACCCACTGCCAGAATGCCGACCTTGGAGGACCATCATCCTCGGACTACGAGGGATCGCCTAAGTAAAATAAGGGGAATCCTCACCATAAACTTCTTTGATCTCATCAAATGTCTCCTTTGGTGTGTGGCCTTTCAAGGAAAGGAACTTGTGGACTGCGCTGTATTCCACTGGGTTTATTATCAAACCTCACACCACGTCAGCATCTGTACAACCAAGACCATTATCAATTCTGAGTTGTAAATTGGTACGTAACCTATAGAGACTTATATCATTACACATGTGCAGTTTCAGTGTCCTGTCATAAATAGAAGTGGGTCAGGGGAAATCTTTAATGAACGCCCCTCGTACCTTGCCAGTTAAAGGCATGTGATTGCGAGTGAGTGTGTGTGTCCTTCAGATGTCCTGGCACTATATAGGACTTCATAGATCATCACAGCACTTGGGACTGTGCCCTTGAATTATATGCCTCCTTCTGTGGCCTTTTACCATTGCATTGACTAAGTGACAGCGCTTTGATAGAATGGTAATTTCCTTTTTGTTTTTGTTTGACTCCGCGTCTTTTGCTAGAATTGTGCAACCTTGGCCTTTCACTTCAGAAGCCTGCATCCATTTTGCCCCAACTTACCTGCCTGTGTTCCTGTAGCAGAGGGAACGGATGCTTTATTGATTTGGAGCGCTGAGGGGTATTTGGGTTTTTTAAGCCCTGTCCCTTGCCTCTTTGTTTTTTTTTTTTCCTGTGTGCCTGGAGCCATAATATTCCGGCTACGACTTCCATCATTTCCATAGCAACCCTCAGCGGAAGATTATGGCTTCAATGACTTCAATGAGGAGCGAGCGGCGGCTTTAGAATTCGCTCCCGGGCAAGATGGGGAAAACAGTGGAGGAGATAAGCACATTTGCTCCGTGTAGAATGTCAGAAAGATCTTTAAATCCTGCATGTCCTGACAAGAGGACTGTGAGGGGAAAGTGGGCGTTTTCCCGTCTCTTCTTGCAAGCATATTCCTGCAGAAATTGGGAAGCAAAATACAGTCGTTCTTTCACACTCACTGGGGTTAAGGGCATAGGGAGCCCTCCTAAAGTGAACATTGCAAATAATAAAATTGCTTTATTTATTTATCGTGTCAGTAGCAACCAGGCAATTGTATTATATCTTTAACAAATTTTTAACAAACAGACAAAACAGAGTTTGCAAGCTTGCTAGTTAATTAAATGTCCTTTGACCAGTCTCTGGCCACTTGGAGTGCCTCTGGTGTTGCCGCAAGAAGGTCCTCCATTGTGCATGTGGCAGGGCTCAGGTTGCATTGCAGCAGGTGGTCAGTGGTTTGCTCTTCTCCACATTCGCATGTCGTGGATTCCACTTTGTGGCCCTATTTTTTAAGATTGGCTCTGCATCTCGTGGTGCCAGAGCGCAGTGTCATACAGTATCTTGTCTTGGTTGCGGCCACCTATTCAAGTATTGGACCCCCTGGTGACGCAGTGGGTTAAACCCTTGTGCTATCAGGACTGAAGACCGACAGGTTGCAGGTTCGAATCTGGGGAGATTGCGGATGAGCTTCCTTTGTTAGCTCCAGCTCCCCATGCGGGGACATGAGAGAAGTCTCCCACAAAGATGGTAAAACATCAAAACATCTGGCAGAGGACCATCGCTTCAATGCTGGTGGTCTTTGCTTCTTCCAGCACGCTGACATTTGTCCGCTTGTCCCCTGGGCAAAGTCCTTGCAGACGGCCAATTCTCTCACACCAGAAGTGACTTTAGTCTCAAGCCGCTCCTGTAATGAAAAAAAATATTCAAGTATTATGCAGGACTGACCCTGCTTAGAGTCCAAGGCGAAGCAGAGTATGCCTAGGTTTACTCAAACATGTGGGTTGCAATGGAAATGATGGAAGTGGCAGTCCAGAAAATTGTTCTAGAATTAAACCTTTAGTGTAAAAAAAACCTGCTGCCCAATAATGCAATTCAGACTGCTGGTAGTTTGAGTATCACTGTTTTGGAGGATTGATTCAATTACCAAAAAAGTTCCTTCTTATGCCACTCTGATACCGCTCATCTATAGGGCATCTGCTGGGTCTTTCCCCTGACTCCGGCCTGTTGCTTGATTTGAACCCGGTCGAGGAACGGCGATAATGAAAGTATAGCAACTGAAAAGCACAACCGCTCTGCACGTCCCGTTTGCCACCGCAGAGCTCATTCATTTCCCCCTTGCTGCGTCTTGCCTTTTCAATTTCTTTTGCTCGGGCAACTCACAGCGGAAAATTGCAGGGAAAGAGAGCACTTTAGGAGCAAAATAAGATTTAAGCCCAAGCGCCAAAGGGTTGCAGGTGCAGCGTGGACACCATTGATGTGCAGTTTTTGTGGCCTGCCTTGTATGTGCCTTTTCCTTTCCAGTCAACAAAACTCCAGGCCTGATGCAGCCTTTTCTTTACTTTAGTGGTTCCCAAACTTTTTTTAAGCCAGGGATCACTCTCCAACATTAGTACCAAAAGGGTTACCAATAAGTTTTTGCTCAACTTTAGATTCGATTTGTTTATTAAGGGAGGTGATTCTGAAAATTGCATTGGATAGACCACATCAACTCTAGTTTCTGATACAGAACATATGCCATCCAGTTGTCGGCATCTACTTGCCCACAGAAAACCATATTTAATAAGCCTCGGCACTATTTATTTATTATTTATTTATTTACAGTATTTGTATACCGCCCCTCTCAGCCTTCCAGCGACTCGAGGTGATTTACAAGGGAGAATTCAATACCACGAAAAACACAGTTAAAATATAAAAACTTTAACATCAATAAAATCATAACAGCTGTAATAAAACATAATTCAATAAATACTCATTAAAACAATGTCCAATCTATCTTGTAGTTGATTCCATTCTTTTGTCTGTTACTCAGAATTTGCAAATACCTGCTCGAATAGCCATGTCTTGAGTATTTTCTGAAATGCTAAAAGTGAAGAAGCCAATCTAATCTCCATAGGAAGGGCGTTCCATAGCCAAGCAGCCACCACTGAAAAGGCCCTGTCTCTCGTCCCTGCCAACCGTGCTTGTAATGATGGCGGGACTGAGAGCAGGGCCTCTCCAGACGATCTTAAGGTCCTTGAAGGTTCATAAGGGGAGATGCGTTCGGACAGGGAAGTTGGGCCAGAACCATTTAGGGCTTTATAGGCCAAGGCCAGCACTTTGAATTGTGCCCAGTAGCAGACTGGCAGCCAATGGAGCTGGCACAACAGGGGGGTTGTATGCTCCCTGAGGATTTCACGAGACCAGTCACTGTTGTTGCAACTGTGTAGTAACAGTGAGCTCATGGACCATATTTTAGTTCTTCTGGACCATTGGTGGTCCATGGACCACAGTTGGGAACCACCTATTTACACGAATTCTCTATCTCTTCTCTCACCAGAACAAAGAGGATGGCGCACCTGAGGCCAAGCAGTCCAGAAACGACAACGAAGAGGAAGAGGCACCAAAACACAAGTAGGTTCCTGACTATTCTCTGCAGCTTGGATAGGGGTGGGAATCTTCACAAATGTCATTCTTGCAGGCAACAATGAATATTTGTTTATCCAAGAGAGTTTTGAATCCATTCTCTTTGGAACATTGAGTTTGGAACTCATGATTTCCCCTCCAAAAGCCTGTATGTGGCCTTCCTTTGCACAGAAAATGGCATTTAATGGACCAAAAGTTACGTTTCCCTCACAGGAAACTTGGTTTCTGCACCAAAAATGCCATTTTATGCATGTTTTTCTCCCTCACATGGAATAAATCCTAATCATAGCCTGATTTGAGGAACCCATATTTTCAGCTAGCATATTTACATATATTCATGCCATCCCTAATCCAGCCTAGCTCCATATAAATTTGTGATTGCAAATCTGGAGCCAAGTTTTGGTCTGAGGAAGGAAAAACCAGCTTGTTTATAAGGAGGAAATTAGCTCTTCCTGTTAACGAGGCAACAAGGAAAATGAGCTGCGACATGTCATGTTACGTGATCCCAAAGGTGGTGAATAATGAATGCCCTGGATATTGTCTTCCTCGTTCTCTGCTGATCAGGGCAAAATGTGGAGCACGCAATGAAAATGAGGACCCCAAGTGGCTGGCCATGCTCTTATTCTCAGCATAAGGTATAAGAGGGAATAGAAGGCATGCTCATTGAGTCTGAAGATGACTCCACATTGGGAGGGATAGCTAAGGCCCCAGAGGACAGGGTCAGAATTCAGAGTAACCTCAAGAGATGAGAGAGCTGATTGGACAAGACTAGCAAAAAGAATTTCAAAAGGGAGAAATATAAGGGACTACACTTGGGAAATGAAAATTAAATCCAGAGATATAGGATGGGTGACACTTGGGTTGAAAACAAGCCATGATAAAAAAGGATCTAGGGGTCCTAAGTAGACCACAAGCTGAAGATGAATCAACAGTGTGATATGGCAGCTAAAAAACGCCAATGCGATTCTACTTACTTAGGCAATCCCTCGTAGTTCGAGGATGATGGTCCTCCAAGTGTAGTGTCCTGGCGATGGGTCCGTAGGTGACTGTGGAGCCCTATTCTTGATTTACATCTTCTCCCACAGTGAGGGCATCAGTTTCCAGTGGAAGGCGGTCCCGGTCGCAGTTGGCTTGATGCGCCTTCCTCTTGGCACGTTTCTCTCTTTCGTCCTCCATTCATGCCTCTTCAGATTCTACAGCACTGCTGGTCACAACTGACCTCCAGCTGGAGCACTCAAGGGCCAGGGCTTCCCGGTTCTCAGTGTCTATGCCAGAGTTTTTAAGGTTGGCTTTGAGCCCATCTTTAAATCTCTTTTCCTGTCCACCTACATTCCTTTTTCCAGTCTTGATTTCGGAGTAGAGCAACTGCTTTGGGAGACAGCGGTTGGGCATCTGGACAACATAGCTAGTCCAGCGGAGTTGATGGAGGAGGACCATCGCTTCAATGCTGGTGGTCTTTGCTTCTTCCTGCACGCTGACATTTGTCCACTTGTCTTCCAAAGAGATTTGCAGGATTTTTCAGAGGCAGCACTGATGGAATCGTTCCAGGAGTTGCATGTGACGTCTGTAGACTATCCACATCTCACAGGCATATAGCAGCGTTGGGAGGACAATAGCTTTATAAACAAGCACCTTGGTCTCCCTACCGATGTCCCGGTCCTCAAACACTCTTTGCTTCATTTGGAAAAATGCTGCACTCGCAGAGCTCAGGCAGTATTGAATTTCATTGTCAATGTTGACTTTTGTGGAGAGGTGACTGCTAAGGGAGCAGAAATGGTCAACATTTTCTAATGTTACACCATTAAGCTTTATTTCTGGCATTGGAGAGGGATTGACTGGTTTTCTCGATGTTCAATGACAGGTCGAGCTTTTTGTATGCTTCTGTGAAGGTATTTAGAGTGGCATGTAGGTCTTCTTCTGAATGTGCACAGATGACGTTATCATCAGCATACTGGAGTTCTATAACAGATGTTGTTTTAACCTTGGTTTTGACTTTCAGTGTCTACATTGAGGGAGGCCATAGTTCTACTATATACTGCTTTGGTCAGGCCTGGCCAGGAATAACTTTGTGTTTGATTCTGGGCAAAACAGTTCAAGAAGGAGATGAACCAGAAGGAAGGTGTCCAAAGAAGGGTGGCCAAAGTGGCCAAAGTTCTGGAAATCATTAATCCCTCTCAAGATTAGGGAGCTGGGGATGTTTAACTTGGAGAAGAGAAGGCTGAGGGAAGTGTTTTAAGTTTTTTTGAAAGGGTGTGTCATTGAGGAGGGGACCAGCTTGTTTTCTGCTTCTCTGGAGATTAGCACATGGTGCAGTGAATCCAAATAGCAGGAAACGAGATTCCACCTAAAAATTGTGGAAAACTTCTTGACAGTAAGATCTGTTCAGTAGTGGAATCTGCTTCTATCTGGTGAAATTTCCTTCTCTGGAGGTGTTTTTTAACAGTAGCTAAACGGCCATCTGTTGGGAGTGCTTGGAGTGCGTCTTCTTGCATGGAAGAATGGGTTGGACTAGATGGACCTTGCGGTCTCTTCCAGCTCTAGGATCTATGAACCCCTCTTGCTGGGACTGCTGAGGGATTCTTCTCTGTAGAAGCCAAGCATAATCCTCTTTCTTCCACCGGTGCTTCTCAATAGCAGTGCAAAGCTTTTCCGAGCGTGGCCCTATTAGTTCTAGGCCGCCTCCCGATAATGGAGCCTCCCTACCATGACATGCTTTGAAGATGAGTTGCAGATAAAATCTCACAGCTGTCCTGACCTTAAGTCTGCCTTGATGTCAGCCATTGTCCTGGGGCATTGTTGTTATGGTTGATTGGGGATGTGGGGCAACATCTCCTAATGGTTTGGACCATGAATGGGATGCTTCGTCTGATCAGTTTTGTGTATGGAGATGGGCCATTAAACTGGAAGTGAAAGGAGTGGTGGTCTTCCTGGTGGCCAATTTGGAAGAAGGTCTTCTTGATGAGATTTATGACTGTCAGTCTTGAATCTGCACTCTTTGGGGAAGCTAAGAGAGATCCACATGGTGGCTGATCAGCTAAGACGGCTGTGATTGCATAGACTTGCTCGTGTGGATTTGGGGCAGAAAACTGCTTGTGCAAATTTTGCAAGACGATAAGATTTTAGAAGTCTTCAGCCTCTTTCACCATTATATCTTGGCTGAAAAAAAATTGGAGGCTTTGCTTTGCAAGGCTTCTTATTCAGTTTGTCCAGGTAAGATCTACAAGGTGGTATCATGTGGTTGAGGAGGCATCCAGCTTGTTTTCTGCTGCTCTGGAGACAATGACACAACGAAGCAGTGGCTTCAATTTACAGAAAAAGAGATGCCACCTAAATACGAGGAAGTACTTCCTGATGTGGCAAGTTCTTGGTGGGATGGGCATACCAAGCCACCTTGTCTCTCTCCTGAGGAATCTGTACAAGGACCAAGTAGCAACAGTCAGAACTGACCACGGAACAACAGACTGGTTCAAGATTGGGAAAGGCGTACGGCAAGGCTGCATACTCTCACCCAACCTTTTTAACTTGTATGCAGAACACATCATGCGAGGATGTGCGGGGCTTGAGGAATGCAAAGCTGGGGTGAAAATTGCTGGAAGAAACATTAACAACCTCAGATATGCAGATGACACCACTCTGATGGCCGAAAGCGAGGAGGAGCTGAGGAGCCTTCTAATCAAGGTGAAAGAAGAAAGCGCAAAAGCCGGGTTGCAGCTAAACGTCAAAAAAACCAAGATTATGGCAACAAGAATGATTGACAACTGGAAAATAGAGGGAGAAAATGTGGAGGCCGTGACAGACTTTGTATTTCTAGGTGCAAAGATTACTGCAGATGCAGACTGTGGCCAGGAAATCAGAAGACGCTTACTTCTTGGGAGGAAAGCAATGTCCAATCTCGATAAAATAGTAAAGAGTAGAGACATCACACTGGCAACAAAGATCCGCCTAGTCAAAGCCATGGTATTCCCTGTAGTCACCTACGGATGTGAGAGCTGGACCTTCGGGAAGGCTGAACGAAGGAAGATCGATGCTTTTGAGCTGTGGTGTTGGAGGAAAGTGCTGAGAGTGCCTTGGACTGCGAGAAGATCCAACCAGTCCATCCTCCAGGAAATAAAGCCCGGCTGCTCATTGGAGGGAAGGATACTAGAGACAAAGTTGAAGTACTTTGGCCACATCATGAGGAGACAGGAAATATTATGCTGGGGAAAGTGGAAGGCAAAAGGAAGAGGGGCCGACCAAGGGCAAGATGGATGGATGGCATCCTTGAAGTGACTGGACTGACCTTGAAGGAGCTGGGGGTGGTGACGGCTGACAGGGAGCTCGGGCGTGGGCTGGTCCATGAAGTCACGAAGAGTCGGAGACGACTGAACGAATGAACAAGAACAACAACTTCCTGATGGTTAGAGCTATTTGGCAGGAGAGTATTCTTCCTGGGAATCCAACAGTTTCCTTCTCTGGAGGCTTTGAAACAGATATCATCTGCTGGAAGTATTTCAATGTTATGTTCCTGCAAGGCAGAATGGAGTTGGATTGGATGACCTCTCTACAATTCTATGGAGACTTCTGCTTTTCCACTTAAACACTGTAAGGGATATTACAAGGCTCTGGTCGTCTTTCCAGCACCTAAATGGCTCCTTCAAAAGGTCATCAAGTGGTTTGCAAATCGTGTGTGCTAATGTTCCTGTAGTTATCTTTCTGGCATTCCAGTAAAGCTTTGGAGACTCTTATCACAGGTCTGGCATTAGTAACTGGCTGACGCTCAGTCCAGATAAGACAGGTTTTGATGTGGAGGCAGGGAGAGTGAGGTGGAAAGCATGCCATGAGTGGGGTCACACTCCTTCTGAAGGACTTCTTTGATGCTTTAGGTCTGGTTCAGTTGCCTGTTGACATCCCTTTCCAGTCAGTCTGCCCTCTCTTCTGGGTACATGGGATAGAATCATACCCAGTGGGAGGAGAACCCAAGAACTATCCAGTCTAGCCACTTTCTGCCAGGGTTTGCTTTTCTGATGGGTTCTGTAGTCACATCTCAATTAGGTTCTTGGGACCTGTTTTGAAGGCATGGCACTGGTTTCTGAGCCTTGTTTTGCTTCAGAAACCCACCCAGGTATCTCCCTACACTTAGGATCTGTGTGAGTTCCCAGAGGACGTTGGAGAGCCATAGATCTTGAGGAAGAGTTGGGCTCCACATCCACCTAGAAGAAGGTCTTGGAGAGCAATCTCACCATGTTTTGGCTTCCTTTGGGCTTTCGCTTGAAGGAGACATGTTTTTACCAACAGGGAGTGGTCAGGAGGGCCATTTTGTATTAGAAAAACAGTTTCTCCAGGACCTAAAATAGGCTGTAAGTGATAGAAAGGTTTCCAGTATCTCAAGGTAGTTTTTGGAAGGCAATTTATTTTCTTGAATATAATATAGTAGGGTTTGGTAAATTCACAAAAATGAGAGCAACATTTGATCCATGTGGTGCATTTCCTCCACTCTTGTTAAATCTGAGTCTCTCCTGTATGTTGGATGTTTTTCTACTGTGTTTCTTGTGGTTTAGGGAAGCTTGGAGCAACCTTTGGCCTTGGTGGGGATGGGTTTCTGGGATCTGAGGTCCAGATAAGAGAGGAGATTCCATCTGAACATGAGGAAGAACTTCCTGACTATGAGAGCCGTTCAGCAGTGGAACTCTCTGCCCCGGAGTGTGGTGGAGGCTCCTTCTTTGGAAGCTTTAAACAGAGGCTGGATGGCCATCTGTCAGGGGTGATTTGAATGCAGTATTCCTGCTTCTTGGCAGGGGGTTGGACTGGATGGCCCATGAGGTCTCTTCCAACTCTTTGATTCTATGATTCTATGATAAGTAACTTGAGAGAGAAGTCACTAGTTAAGATATTGGATAGCATATGCCACAGTGCTCACTGTGTACAACATTTTGAAGGTGGATTTGAAAGGCTGGGGGTTTGGATATTGCTCTTAGGGAATGGTTAACAACATCTTTGGGAGGCTAGCTGGGATGGGGCTCAGATTTCTGAGTTTGTTGATTTTTCTGGTGTTCTTTCTCGTAGCCCTGGGAACCGTGGGAAATACAAATATTCAGAGAGGGGATTGGATCGTTCAGTGCTGAACAGATCTTGGTGCCAAGCTAATTTCTAGAACTACAACTTTTTGGGTGCACCATTGACTGTGCTGGGTAGGGGATGCGGGCGGTTGGAATCTGAAAAGGACCTTTTCCCAGGATCTGTTGCGGTGTAGGAAGCTGTATTCTCCTCCCTCTTGTTTCCTGGATCATATGCTGTGTATCCCGTGAACTTTCCCAGGGGACATCTTGCCAGTAACAGCCGCTGCGAACTAATTGCTCATGGCACATTTGGGGGAGTGAGAGCATCGCGTCTAGTGTTTAATGAAATGGGTTGAGAGCTTTTCATTAGAAACGTAATAAGTTGCAAGGTCGAGTGGGAACCGGGAGTCGCCTAGAGAGCGTCCGTCCATTTCTGACGCTGCGGAACTCAACAAAAGCCTGGCGGGGCGGCCAATTTTTATTGTCGGAACAAAGGAAGACAAACCTTCCCTGGAGACAGACGCACAGGCTGTGTTATGTATGTATTGCCAGCCCTCCATATCCATGGATTTTGCCCTCTGTGGTTTGAAAATATTGCCACCCCCACCTCCACTATTTACCTTAAAGCAAACCAAAATACCGTAACCGATTAGAGTTTTGGGTCCAAACATAATTCATTTCAAAAGGGAGAAATGTTTGGTACTATTGATTTATTTAGAGCATTTATACCTCTTCCATCTGAACCTGCAAAGAGGGACTCAGGACGGCTTCCAACAGGCAACTATTCAATGCCGACACAATATAAACACATAACATAAAATACAATTAGCATACATTAAAAACAGTTATAAATATACATTACAACAGTTTGCTGGTTCAAATCATCATCCCAATCAGTCAATTGCGGTCCACTACAACCTTATCTTCACCAGTAAATTTTCTAAGTCTTCCAGCACAATTTGCAGTCTATTCTGCAAATGCTTGATCCCACAGCTATGATTTGAGTTTCTTCCGGAAGATCAGGAGGAATGGGGCAGAACTAATCTCATACGGGAGGGAGAGCCACCACAGAGAAGGCCCTGTCCCTTGTCCCCACCAAACACGACTGTGATGGCAATGGGAATGAGACCAGGGGCTCACCAGATGATCTTAAGGTCCTTGGTGGTACGAGGGTTGAATGAAAGGTAATGCTTCCACCTTCGTAACTGCTCAACAGACGGCAGTACTGGTATGTGGCAGGTACTTGCTTTTTCAGTAGACTCTTCTCTATAGTTCCATTTTGGTGGGAAGCCTTAGCAAAAACGGTTGTGTTTTTAAAGTGCAAAGTATGGAACCCTGCGCAATGTGACTTAAGCAACGTGCAGTCATTGAATTCTTGACAGCAGAAGGTGTCACCCCAAAGGAGATTTATCAGAGAATGCAAGCTGTTTATGGTGTGTTGATGTGAGTACTGTGTGTTGTTGGGCGAGTAAGTTTAAAGATGTTGAGGTGGGAACATCTGACTTGCATGACAAACAAAGAGTTGGACGTCCTGTGACAGCAACCACCGAGTTTCACAAGCAAAAGGTTGACAGATTGATTCAGGACTATTGTCGTATCACTCTGAGAGAAATTTCAAGCATAATCAGCATTTCACAAGAACGTGTGGGTCTAGCTGAAGCTTCCGAGCAGTCTTCAGAGGCAACCCCATGTAGAGTGCGTTGCAGTAATCTATTCGGGATAAGGGTACTACACTTAGGTAGAAAAAGGAAATGCATAGGATGGGTGACACTTGGCTTGAAAACATTACACGTGAAAGGTTTTTAGCTTTCTAATTTCTCCACTTTCCCTTTCTAGGGAGCTGAAGTTGCGGAATTATACTCCCGAAGATGAAGAACTCAAGGGACGGATGGTGCCTCCGGCCAAGCCGGCCTCAGGTAAAGCCACGCCCGGGATGGAGAGCTCTGCCAAAATGGAGCAGACTTCAGTCTCACCTGGAAATGCTGAAACGTTTTGGAGCATAACTCACAGATTCCTCCAGATAGCACTTTGAGGGCATCTAAGGGCTTAGGCAGGGAGAAATGTAAGGTACTACACTTGATGTGGAGACAGTGAAATGCCTTGACAGCAGTCTGTGCGAAAGGGATCTAGAAGTCAGTCAGCCACAGGCTGAGCATGAGTCAAGAGGGAACTCAAAAAGTCAATGGGATTCTAGCTGGTAGCAACAAGAATATCTGAGATCGTTGGAAGTCATAGTCCTCTCCTTTCTTGTTTTGGTCTGTTTTGGTCAGACCTCCACTGGAATAATAACCCTGTCTGCAGTCCTGCGCAAAGCAATTCAGGAAGGAGATGGGACAATGTTTTTATTAGGAGACGCAAATGATATATGCTTTTAGTATTCTTGTTATGGTTTTTTATTATGTGTTAATGTTTTAAAATGTTTTATGGTGTTTTTGGGCATTGAATCATTGCCGTTGTAAACTGCCCTGAGTCACCTAAGGGCTGAGAAGGGTGGTATATAAATATATATAAATAAAAACGTAATGTTCATTTGTGGGATTAACAGAACTCAAAAACCAGTGGGGGGATTGATACCAAATTTGGACACAAGACACCTCTCAGGCCAATGTATGTCTTTCACTCATAAAAACACAACAAAACGCAGCAGAAGAGACTTAAAAAGCCCCAAGAAGCTAAATGACAATACAGAAAAAAGGGAAGAAAGAGGGAGGGGAGAAAAGAAAGAAAAAAAGAAAGAAAGAAAAGAAAGAGGGAGAGGAAAAAACAAGAAAAGGGAGAAGGAAGCATGGAAGCCAAGAGAGAAGGAAGGAAGGAAGGAAGGAGGTATAGAAGGAAGGAAGGAAAGAAAGAGGGAGGGAAAGAAAAAGGGGGAAGGAAGGAAAGTTAGAGAACTTGCTTCAAAGGCCCTCCCATAGTTCCAGCCTGGGGTTTCCCCACTATTTCTTTGCTGATTTCAACCTGCTGGTAAATTTTTCTTGTCTCTTTCTGCCCTCCAGTGGAAGACAAGGTGAAGGATCAGCTGGAAGCGGCCAAGCCTGAACCCATCATTGAAGAAGTGGTAGGTGGTTCTCTGCCTTTCCTATGCATATTAGTGGGGGATCTTTTCATGATATTATTTTGGAAAAAAAGTTTTTTGGTGTCAGGAGTGACTTGAGAAACCTCAAGTCGCTTCTGGTGTGAGAGAATTGACCATCTGCAAGGACATCGCCCAGGGATGCCTGAATGTTTTACCATCCTATGGGAGGCTTCTCTCATGTCCCAGCATGAGAAGCTGGAGCTAACAGTTGGGAGCTTACCCCGATCCCCAAATTTATAATAACAAAAACAACAACAACAATTTATTTGTTACTTACCTCTTGTTGTAGCTTGAGGCAGGGTACAACCTAATTAAAATACATCAATAAAACAAGGGATCATAAAAAACATACATTACAAACAGACCAATGTTTAAAACTCCAGTATTAATAATATGTAAATTGAAAAGTGATAGTTTCCTGATAGGCCTACAGGAAAATTACCCCAGACTTTTATGTTGCCTTGGTGGTTTGGGTCATCTGGAGTGATTTCCAGATTATTTTATATTTGATTTTGTTTCTTTTTTTTGGAAGAATCTGGGAACTTTGAGTGGATGGTGGGAGGAATGTGGGAAAAGGATACGTGGGGTCAATGCATTCATGAAACTACAGTGTTCCAGTCCTTAAATGAAACTGTTGGGTCTGCTTTGTCACATACATAATTGGGAGTTGTTAGGAAAAGATTAGTATCCCGCTATATTATTTTTGTTATCGTTATCTTCCTCCTCCTCCTCTTCTTCTTCTTCTCCTCTTTCTCCTTCTTCTCTTTCTCCTCCTCCTCTTCTTCTTCTTCTCTTTCTCCTCCTCCTCCTCCTCCTCTTCTTCTTCTTCTCCTCTTTCTCCTTCTTCTCTTTCTCCTCCTCCTCCTCTTCTTCTTCTTCTTCTTCTTCTTCTTCTTCTTCTTCTTCTTCTTCTTCTTCTTCTCTTTCTCTTTCTCTTTCTTCTCTTTCTCCTTCTTCTCTTCCTCCTCCTCCTCCTCCTCCTCCTCCTCCTTCAATAATAATAATAATAATAATAATAATAATAATAATAATAATAATAATAATAATAATAATAATTTGCTTCCTCTATTCCTAGGATTTGGCAAACCTTGCACCTAGAAAACCTGATTGGTAAGTATAGCAGTAATCTATATAAATAAAAATGTAATGTTCATTTGTGGGATTGACATAACCCCAAAACCACTGGACGAATTGACACCAAATTTGGACACAATACAACTATCAGGCCAACAAGTGACCATCACTCATAAAAACACTGAAAAACACAGCAGAAGAGACTTTAAAAGCCAAGGCGAGTAAGTTTAAAGATGTTGAGGTGGGAACATCTGACTTGCATGACAAACAAAGAGTTGGACGTCCTGTGACAGCAACCACCGAGTTTCACAAGCAAAAGGTTGACAGATTGATTCAGGATGATCGTTGTATCACTCAGAGAGAAATTTCAAGCATAATTGGCATTTCACAAGAACGTGTGGGTCACATTATTGCTTTGCTTGGCTATCAGAAGATCGTGCACGATGGGTTGCAGAAACAGAGTGCCAACTTATGTGGAATTTATAGTTCACCTAAAATCAAAGTACATTCTGAATCCCTTGGGTCAAACTTCCCACACGGCAGGAAATAATGTTTTGGAACAGGTTTTTTTTTTAGCTTTTTCTAATTTCTCCCAACTTTCCCTTTCTAGGTGAGCTGTAAGTTGCCGGAATATACTCACCGAAGATTGAAGAAATACGTAATAGTTGGCGACGGATGGTTTTTGCTTTTGCCCGGCCAAGAGCCACAATTATACCGGCCTCAGGTATAAGCCTTATTAAACGCCCGGGCTGGGTGAGAGCTTTTCTCTCTGCAAAATTGGAGCAGACTTCAGTCTCACCTGGAAATGCTGAAACGTTTTGGAGCATAACTCACAGATTCCTCCAGATAGCACTTTGAGGGCATCTAAGGGCTTAGGCAGGGAGAAATGTAAGGTACTACACTTGATGTGGAGACAGTGAAATGCCTTGACAGCAGTCTGTGCGAAAGGGATCTAGAAGTCAGTCAGCCACAGGCTGAGCATGAGTCAAGAGGGAGCTCAAAAAGTCAATGGGATTCTAGCTGGTAGCAACAAGAATATCTGAGATCGTTGGAAGTCATAGTCCTCTCCTTTCTTGTTTTGGTCTGTTTTGGTCAGACCTCCACTGGAATAATAACCCTGTCTGCAGTCCTGCGCAAAGCAATTCAGGAAGGAGATGGGACAATGTTTTTATTAGGAGACGCAAATGATATATGCTTTTAGTATTCTTGTTATGGTTTTTTATTATGTGTTAATGTTTTAAAATGTTTTATGGTGTTTTTGGGCATTGAATCATTGCCGTTGTAAACTGCCCTGAGTCACCTAAGGGCTGAGAAGGGTGGTATATAAATATATATAAATAAAAACGTAATGTTCATTTGTGGGATTAACAGAACTCAAAAACCAGTGGGGGGATTGATACCAAATTTGGACACAAGACACCTCTCAGGCCAATGTATGTCTTTCACTCATAAAAACACAACAAAACGCAGCAGAAGAGACTTAAAAAGCCCCAAGAAGCACAAAAAAAAACACCCAGAAATACAGAAAAAAAAAAAAGAAGAAAAGAAGAAAGAAGGGAGGGAGGGAGAAAAGAAAGAAAAAACAAGGAAAGAAAGAAAAGAAGGAAGAGGGGAGAGGAAGAAAGAAAAGAAGGAAATCCAAGAGAAAAGAGGTACAATCGGACTAAACATCGGACGGCCAGATTCGAAGCTAAAGAGGACGGAAGGAAAAAGGAAGGAAAAAGAGAAAGGAAAGAAAGAGAGAGGAAAGGAAAGGAAAGGAAAAAGGAAGGAGAAGGAAAAGGAAGGAAGAAGAAGGAGAAAAGGAAAGAAAGAGGGAGGGAAAGAAAAAGGGGGAAGGAAGGAAAGTTAGAGAACTTGCTTCAAAGGCCCTCCCATAGTTCCAGCCTGGGGTTTCCCCACTATTTCTTTGCTGATTTCAACCTGCTGGTAAATTTTTCTTGTCTCTTTCTGCCCTCCAGTGGAAGACAAGGTGAAGGATCAGCTGGAAGCGGCCAAGCCTGAACCCATCATTGAAGAAGTGGTAGGTGGTTCTCTGCCTTTCCTATGCATATTAGTGGGGGATCTTTTCATGATATTATTTTGGAAAAAAAGTTTTTTGGTGTCAGGAGTGACTTGAGAAACCTCAAGTCGCTTCTGGTGTGAGAGAATTGACCATCTGCAAGGACATCGCCCAGGGATGCCTGAATGTTTTACCATCCTATGGGAGGCTTCTCTCATGTCCCAGCATGAGAAGCTGGAGCTAACAGTTGGGAGCTTACCCCGATCCCCAAATTTATAATAACAAAAACAACAACAACAATTTATTTGTTACTTACCTCTTGTTGTAGCTTGAGGCAGGGTACAACCTAATTAAAATACATCAATAAAACAAGGGATCATAAAAAACATACATTACAAACAGACCAATGTTTAAAACTCCAGTATTAATAATATGTAAATTGAAAAGTGATAGTTTCCTGATAGGCCTACAGGAAAATTACCCCAGACTTTTATGTTGCCTTGGTGGTTTGGGTCATCTGGAGTGATTTCCAGGTTATTTTATATTTGATTTTGTTTCTTTTTTTGGAAGAATCTGGGAACTTTGAGTGGATGGTGGGAGGAATGTGGGAAAAGGATACGTGGGGTCAATGCATTCATGAAACTACAGTGTTCCAGTCCTTAAATGAAACTGTTGGGTCTGCTTTGTCACATACATAATTGGGAGTTGTTAGGAAAAGATTAGTATCCCGCTATATTATTTTTGTTATCGTTATCTTCCTCCTCCTCCTCTTTCTTCTTCCTCCTCCTTTTCTTTCTCTTCTTCCTCCACTTCCTCCTCTTTCTCCTCCTCCTATTCATCCTCCTCTTCATCTTCCTCTTCTTCATCTCCTCCTCCTCCTCCTCCTTCTTCCTTCTCCTCTTCTTCATCTTCCTCTTCCCCTCCTTCACCTTTTCCGTTCTCTCTCTTTCTTCTTTTCTCTTCTTCCTCTTCCTCCCTTTCTCTCTTTCTCTTCCTTTTTCTTCTCTTCCCTTTCTTCTCCTCTCCTCTCCCTCTCTTCTTCTTCTTCCTTCCATAATAATAATAATAATAATAATAATAATAATAATAATAATAATAATAATAATATAATAATTTACATCCCATTTTTCTCTCTTAAACTTAAACAATATCTCATAATATAAATAATCTATATAAATAAAAATGTAATGTTCGTTTGTGGGATTAACATAACTCAAAAACCACTGGACGAATTGACACCAAATTTGGACACAATACACCTATCAGGCCAACAAGTGACCATCACTCATAAAAACACTGAAAAACACAGCAGAAGAGACTTTAAAAGCCAAAAACAAAAAATACATTACAATGCATGCGCAAAACCACATATATACACAAACACACATACACACACATATATATATACACACACACACAAACACACACATATATACACATATACACAAATATATATATATATATACACACACAGACATACACATATATACACACACAAAACACATATGCACAGACTGGGCCACAGCAACGCGTGGCAGGAGACGGCTAATAATAATAATAATAATAATAATAATAATAATAATAATAATAATAATAATCGGCAGCAGCAGCAGCATCTATATAAATAAAAATGTAATGTTCATTTGTGGAATTAATATAATTCAAAAACCACTGGGTGAATTGACACGAAATATGGACACAATACACCTATCAGACCAACAACTGACCATAATTCATAAAAACACTGAAAAACACAGCAGAAGAGACTTAAAAAGCCACCCCCCCCAAAAAAAATGCATTACAACATATGCGCAAAACCACACACACACACACATATACGCAAACACATAATATACACATATACACTATATACACATAGCCATAAACACATAATATACACACAAAAACACATATACACAGACTGGGCCACAGCAACAGTGGCAGGGGATGGCTAATATATATTATTATCTATATAAATAAAAATGTAATGTTCGTTTGTGGGATTAACATAACTAAAAAACCACTGGATGAACTGACACCAAATTTGGACACAGTACACTTATCAAGCGAATGAGTGACCATCACTCATAAACATACTGAAAAACACAGCAGAAGAGACTTTGAAAGCCAAAAAATAAATAAAAAATACATTACAAGGCATATGCGCAAAACCCCCCCCCCCCACACACACATATATATACACACGCAAACACACACATATACACATACACACAAATATATATACATAGAAAACACACAAAACACATATACAGAGACTGGGCAACTAGCCGTCCACTGCGGCTAACAGTGGGAGCTCAGGTCAGCAGTTCAGCAGGACAAAGCTTTAACCCATTGCGCCACTGCAAAACACCTGGGAGTCTTTTATTCTCTCTTTTTTTAAAGAATTAATACAATTAATTAAGGATTTCCTAGGGAAGGTGCAGCCGATTAATATGCAATTAATAAGGCTTTGGAGGGATTGCAGGAATTAGTGAGTGTCAGGAGAGATTGCAAAACAGTGGTTTGATTTTCTGCCTGTTCAACTACAATTTCCAACTTATGGTGATGTTAAGGTGGGTTTTGGGGGCAAGATTAGTTCAGAGGGAGTTTACCTTTGCCTTCCCCTTACCTGGGATCACCCAGTTTCAATTTCCTCCTCTTCCTTTGCAGGGATTTGAAGCGAGACGTAGCCAAGAAGCTGGAGAAACTAGAGAAGCGGACACAGCGGGCGATCGCTGAGCTAATACGTGAGTGATGCGCTGGCAGATGGAAAGGTTGCGCTTTTACATTTGGTCAATGCCCACCAAACCCTTCTAATGTTTTCTGTTGGTCATGGGAGTCCTGTCTGCCACATTTGGTTCAATTCCATCATTGGTGGAGTTCAGAATGCTCATTGATTATAGGTCAACTATAAATCCCAGGAACTACAACTCCCAAATGACAAAATCAATTTTTTTGAGTGATGGTCACTCTTTGGGTTAGTAGCTATCTTGTGGCCAAATTTGACTGCAATTTGTCCAGTGGTTTTTGAGTTATGTTAATCCCACAAACGAACATTACGTTTTTATTTATATAGATAAATCACTTTCAGACTATGTGTATGACGTGGATATGAAATGTGAATGCATTCTGTATTTATTTAGGCTTAAATTCCATCTCAAAGGTATGTGCAAATGTAGTTATTCCAGTCTGGAAGGGGGGAAAAACCCTCGAAATCCCAAACTGGACCCAAGTATTTTGGATAAAGGATACTCCACCTATACTACAGTCAAAGGCTATGAAAAATGTCAGACTTCTGAGGCTGGATCTACACTGCCATATAATGCAGTTTCAGAGTGCAGTTGAACTCCATTGAACTAGATTATGTGGCAAGTTAGATCAGGCCTGGCTAAACTTTCGCCCTCTAGTTGTTTTGGACTCCAACTTCCTACCGGTTGTTAGGAATCGTGGGAGTTGAAATCCAAAACACCTGGAAGGAAGGCCGAAGTTTGCCCATGTCTGCTCTCACTGCCTACTTACTTAGGCAATCCCTCGTAGTCCGAAGATGATGGTCCTTCAAGTGTAGTATCCTGGCGGTGGGTCCGTAGGTGACTGTGGAGCCCTATTCTTGACCTGCATCTTCTCCCGCAGTGAGGGCATCGGTTTCCAGGTGGAAGGCGGGCCCGGTCGGGGTTGGCTTGATGCACCTTCCTCTTGGCACGTTTCTCTTTCTCACCCTCAAGTCATTCCTCTTCAAATTCTACAGCACTGCTGGTCACAGCTGACCTCCAGCTGGAGCACTCAAGGGCCACGGCTTCCCAGTTATCTGTGTCTATGCCAGAGGTTTTGAGGTTGGCTTTGAGCCTGTCTTTAAATCTCTTTTCCTGTCCACCAACATTTCGTTTTCCATTCTTGAGTTTGGAGTAGAGCAACTGCTTTGGGAGACGATGGTCAGGCATCCGGACAATGTGGCCGGTCCAGCGGAATTGATGACGGAGGACCATTGCTTCAATGCTGGTGGTCTTTGCTTCTTCCAGCGCGCTGACATTTGTCCGCTTGTCTTCCCAAGAGATTTGCAGGATTTTCCAGAGGCAGTGCTGATGGAATCGTTCCAGGAGTTGCATGTGACGTCTGTAGACTGTCCATGACTCGCAGGCGTATAGCAGAGTTGGGAGGGGAATAGCTCTATAAACAAGCACCTTGGTCTCCCTATGGATGTCCCGGTCCTCAAACACTTTCTGCTCACCTCTGAGGATGCTTGCCATAGATGCAGTCGAAACTTCAGGAGAAATGCCTCTAGAACATGGCCATATAGCCCGAAAAAACCCACAAGAACTGAGTGATTCCAGCCATGAAAGCCTTCGACAATACACTTTCTGCTTTGTTTGGAAAAATGCGGCACTCACAGAGCTCAGGCGGTGTTGTATTTCAGTGTCGATGTTGACTTTGGTGGAGAGGTGTCTGCCAAGGGAGCGGAAACGGTCAACATTTTCTAATGTTATGCCATTAAGCTGTATTTCTGGCATTTGAGAGGGGTTGGCCGGTGACTGCTGAAAGAGCAGGGATGGAAGCTTGCATATCTAGCCTATACTTTCCAGTGCTTGCACAGGGCTAAAATGGTGCCGTAACAATGTGCCCTTTTCTTCTAGGAGAAAGGCTAAGAGGCCAAGAGGAGAACCTGGCATCGGCGGTCGAGACTGCAAAACAAGACGATAGTGATTCAGACTGAAATGCTCTTGTGTGTGGCTCAGGCGGACTGCGAAGACGCATCCTTCACCTTTTTGGACATATAGGATGCAAATCCACAAGATAATGCAGCGTTGGACACAAAGGAGTTTCTCCATATATGTGGGAGAGCCATTGCAGAGGAGAATTAAGAGGAAAGGGAAGAGGTGAATTGCAATTATGTGCACACCTATCTCCATGGAGGTAATATCTCTCCACTCAAGAGACAGTGAAACCATCTGAACAATAACAGAAGAGAACCTTAATTAATATTCATTGCAAAAATGGCAGGCCTAAATTGAGAAATTGCAAGGTGGATGAGAGGCAGGCCCTTGGAAGTGTAGCAAGTTATTTGCAAGCTTAACAACTCTGGAACATTTCCTTTGAAGCACCACAACTCCCAGAAAACTCCGAGCCTTGAAATAACCTTTCTCTTGCATTTAGTTTGCAACTTTTTGGTTTTCATTTTTTACATGTTTTCCTTTTGAAAACAAAATATTGCCACTCCTAATTTTTATTCTCAGATTATACTGATAAATATGGTATTATTTTTTTAAGAATAAAAAGTTCTAAAAGCAACGAATGAAAATCTTTTGTGTTGTTTTTGATACCAGTGTGTGTGTGTGTGTGTGTGAGAAAGCCATAGTAGCTTATCTTATTGAGAAAACCAGAATCTCGACAGGCTTTTGCAAGCATGACCCTTTTGGAGATTATTTATGCATTTATTTTATTTATTTGCAGTATTTATATTCCGCCCTTCTCACCCCGCAGGGGACTCAGGGCAGATTACAATGCACATATACATGGCTGTTGTACTCCAGGTCAGGAAAAAGCCCTCTGACTTTAAAACACACCACACAAAGAGTGAAGAAACAAATCTTCTTTTATTGAAGCTTAGTAAATAGCCAGAAGAAATAAATGCTTGTAAGAAAATAAGAAAGTTCCAAAAAGTAATAAATCCATAAAAAGGTAGTAACACAAAGCAATGTCCACACCAGATATAAAGGCAATCCAAGACAGCATTTAACCAGACAGGAATCAAGCAGGATGCAAAGACAATCAAAAAGGCTAAAAAAACTCCACAGGAACAAGACCCCTTGAACAGGATTTCCATGGCACATGAACTTGATTTCCAAACGATGCCTGATCTAACAGGTTTCCCCTTGAGGCAAACCTTATATCCCAAAACTCAGGAATTGGTTTCGCTTTCCCCCACACTTACCCCTTATCAGACGAAGCCTTTAAGAGTGATGTAAACACTGAGTTTGCTGTCGATCCTGGCTAATCTCCAGCCACCTATTCTTCAACTCCCTATCTGGCTGCTCATTAAAATTCCTAGGTGTCAGATTGTTTTCCAAACCCAAATCTTGAGAGCTCATAGCGAGAGGGAGTGAACTATCATTGCTAGGCCCAGCAGGAATATTCTCATGAGAAACTGCTCTTTGCACTGGGGCCTCTCTGTCATTGTCTGCCTGAAAATCATTGACCAAGCCATCTCCATCTTGTACCTCAGCCTCATCATTTCCCACATCAGGATCCTGAAACACAAACACAGGCTGATTCCCAACGTTCAATGTCATTAGTCATACAGCATATATAGATAGACACAGAGGCAATTTAATATCTGGCTTTCCGGCTTCATGGGGATATGCTCGATTCCGGCCACAGAGGGAGCTGCCGCTTCACCATCAACTTGTGATACCGAGTCTGCACGTAGGCCTGGGTAACAACGGAAAAATTTGTTTCTAAAATCGATTTGTATTTGGGTTTTTTGTTTTGTTTCGATATTTAAAATAATTACAAAATTTTCCTTTTAAAAAGTTCGATATTTACGAAATTTCGTAAATGGTAAAAAATTAACGAATCGATTTCCGAAACAATAACGAATCGATTCGTTAATGGCGGACGCGACCGCGAAATACGCTAAAAAACCTCCAAAACCTTCTGAAGCTTCCCTCTCCCTCTGTTGTTGACTGTTGGTGTGATATTATAATTTTTTTTCACTAATTAAACCATAAAACTTGCCCAGACATGCGGAAATAATAACGAAACGACCTCAAAACAATAACGAAACGAATACAATATCGAAATACGGATTACAACCTGTGTTGGATGGGGTCGCACTCCCCCTGAAGACACAGGTTCGCAGTTTGGGGGTGATCCTGGACTCATCGCTGAGCCTGGAACCCCAGGTTTCGGCGGTGACCAGGGGAGCATTCGCACAGTTAAAACTTGTGCGCCAACTGCGACCGTACCTTGGGAAGACCGACTTAGCCACGGTAGTCCACGCTCTGGTTACATCCCGCCTTGATTACTGCAACGCTCTCTACGTGGGGTTGCCTTTGAAGACAGTCCGGAAGCTCCAATTAGTCCAACGGGCGGCAGCCATGATACTAACAGGAGCGGGGCGCAGGGAGCATACAACTCCCTTGCTGTACCAGCTCCACTGGCTGCCGATATGCTACCGGGCTCAATTCAAGGTGCTGGCGTTGGCCTTTAAAGCCCTAAACGGTTCTGGCCCAACTTATCTATCCGGACGTATCTCAGCCTATCAGCCCACCAGGACCCTAAGATCTTCCGGAGAGTCCCTTCTCTCTATCCCTCCAGCTTCAGAAGTGCGGCTGGCGGGAACGAGAGATAGGGCCTTCTCTGTGGTGGCCCCTCGGCTTAGGAACGAGAGATAGGGCCTTCTCTGTGGTGGCCCCCCGGCTTTGGAACGCCCTCCCTATAGAGATACGATCAGCCTCTTCGCTGATGGCATTTAGGAAGAAACTTAAAACATGGTTATTCAAACAAGCCTTCGGCTAATCTGTGGAAACCGATTCGAATCTGGGTGACCTTGGACAGAAATATGGACAACGAATTGTGGACTGTGATTTCAACTTGAGACATATGGGATTATTATTGGTGGCCCAATAATTTGCTATTGTAATTTGTAATTGTATTTTGTATATGTTTTTAAACTGGAGATTGATTTTAAATGCTGTAAACCGCAACTGAGTCGCCGATCCAGGCTGAGAAGTTAGCGGTATATAAGTGTACCAAATAAATAAATAATCGAAATACGAAGCATTTACAAAACGTTTTTGAAATTTCGTTTTTTTTAATAATTGCTCCAGAATGGTTCGTTATCGTTTTGTAATTGAAAAAATTAACGAATTATTAACGAATTACGAATTAACGAAACGAAACCGCCCAGCCCTATCTGCACGCATTATTGGCCAATACATCACACAGTCCTGGACACTAGGGAAGTGTCCGACGTACGATCCAGTACAACAGCCACCAGAGTAATCTTTGCTGTGGATTCATCTGTCAGAGTGTGACAGAAGCTTTGAAGCTTAGAAGAATGGACACTTTGAGACTTCAGTAAAAGCAAACATATAGCTTTACTGAGTATACAGCACACCCTCGCACTGACACCCAGCCAAAAAGACAGAAACAAGACAAAAGCACCGAAGTAAGAAGGACGAACTAAATCTTATCTCTGGATCCTCCCTACGCTTTCCAGGCATGCTCAGGGTCACAACTTCACAGTTCATTAGAGGCTTGACTGATTAATCCTTTCAGAGTCAATACACTCTCCGCTAATGCAATCAGGTTACATTCACAGGCATTACACAAAATTACATTTAAACATTCACATTACACTAATTTTACATTAACATCATCTTGTTGTGTTTCAAATAATAATAATAATAATAATAATAATAATAATAATAATAATAATCCTGAACAATAGCTTTAGTGTATTTTTCATCTAAAGCTTGATCGGGCCTTTGCTTTTTTCACTTTTAGAAGCAATCTGCAATCAAAATTGCATTCACCAAAGAGGAGCTATGTTCTGCTAAATATATCTGGACACTTCAGGAAATGTATTTTTGGTATGCAATGCATTGCTCTCAGTAATATAGCATCCACTTCAGTGGTTCTCAACCTGTGGGTCCCTGGTGTTTTGGGCTACAACTCCCAGAAATCCCAGCCATTTTACCAGCTGTTAGGATTTCTGGGAGTTGAAGGTCAAAACATTTGGGGACCCACAGTTTGAGAACCACTGATCTACTTGGATTTCTGTATGGCAGGATGGGGTTGGACTGGATGACCCTTGGGGTCTCCTTCAAACTCTATGTTTGTGCTATTCTTCATTCAGTTTTCAGCGCCATATATCTCCCTTAGTCCTTCAAAGGATAATACATATGCTCAATGTATTGTCGAAGGCTTTCATGGCCGGAATCACTGGGTTGTTGTAGGTTTTTTCGGGCTATATGGCCATGTTCTAGAGGCATTTCTCCTGACGTTTCGCCTGCATCTATGGCAAGCATCCTCAGAGGTAGTGAGGTCTACCTCTGAGGATGCTTGCCATAGATGCAGGTGAAACGTCAGGAGAAAATGCCTCCAGAACATGGCCATATAGCCCGGAAAAACCTACAACAACCCAACTGCTATTTAAAAGATGAGTTGTTGGATATGAAAACAAAAGATAAGTCTTTGCTCAATTGATTTTCATCCATTTCTGATGGGATGACCATCTTTGGTTCAACTGCTCCTCAATTTTCAAATTGGAAAGGCCTAAAGTCCATCTTTGCTTTGCTTTTACGTTTGAAAGGTGCAGCACGGTTAATTGTTTTGCATTCATTTACATGGTTTTCTCCTGATTTGTTAGCCATTTGCTGGAGTCATTTCAAGCCATGCCTTTCCATGTTCCATCCCACATTTGTGGCCAAGGATGTGACCTCAAACGGCATTTTCCCAAATGTCACAATGTCACTTTTACTTCCTTTTTGGGCAGCGCATTCCTGTATGGCAATATCTGCTTTTGGTGCAATGCCAGGTATTACTATGTTTGTATTTCTTTTGCAGGGTGTAGTTGGCAAGAGTCGGGGTTGCTTTACGCAGTTCTAGTTTGTATTTCCAAACTGTGTCGAAGTTCCATCTAAGTCTGTACTGGCTTGGTTGGGACCTGGATGGGAAACATTTGTGGAGCTGTATGTTGAATTCACTAGAGGTGAAAGGAAACAACAAAAATAATTATGTTGTGTGTCATAAAAAGGTCGAGAGGTGACTTTGGTGGCATCTGCACTGTAAATGTAATGCAGTTTAATACCACTTTAAGGCTTTCTGGTTAAACCATTGAGCTGCTGAACTTGCCAACCGATAGATCAGCGGTTCAAATCTGGGAAGCAGGGTGAGCTCCTGCTGTTAGCTCCAGCTTCATAGAATTATAGAATCAAAGAGTTGGAAGAGACCTCATGGGCCATCCAGTCCAACCCCATTCTGCCAACATTGCCGGGCACGTGGGAAAAGAGGCCTCGTGCATGCCTCTTTTGTGTTTCATCTTGGGTGCTATCTTTGAAATGTGTCATTGTGTATGTAAACAGCTATCCCATGATCCCAAACATTTTATTTATTGATTTACAGTATTTGTATACCGCTTTTCTCACCCTCAGGAGGACTCAAAGTGATTTACACACTTCTAGTTCAAAGCACTTTGGATCAGGGATACTCAACCTGTATTACATTACAAACTGCTAGACCGGCTGTTAGGTATTGTGGGAGTTGAAGTCCGAAACACCTGGAGG